CAAAGACATAAACACTGGTCACCCATAGTCCTGAATTTTTTAAAGGGCTTCAACCAAGCACTCAAAATGGAATGTATTCAAGCTGTATCTGATTACATGTGCCTTCCATGTGCAACATCTTATCTAAATAGACACCCAGAAACCACAGCTCTGATTAATGTTACCATTTAAAACATAGACTGTACTTTTCATAGGAGCTAATAACTTTTGAGAAAAATCAGGGTGTAAGAATAATTTATAGAATAAATGGATTTCATCTGGACTGAAAATATTCTCAGAGACTGTTGGGTATAAGGGAAAGTACAGTGGTTCTGCATGTTTAAAATAATTTGGGGGTGACAGCAGGACATACAAACCACAGTCATCCCTCGGTATCCCCAGGGACTTGTTCCAGGACCCTCCATGGATCCATGATCTGCAGATGCTCAAGTCCCTTATGTGAAATGGTGTAGCATGTGCCTATAACCTATACATCTGCTTCCATATACTTTAAATAATCTCTAGATTATTTATAATACCTAATACAATGTAAATGCTTGTAAATAGTTATTATACTGTATTGTTTAGGGAATACTGAAAAGGAAAAAAAGTCTGCACATATTTAGTGAGGACGCATCCATCATACACTTAACTGCATAGTACATGTCAGCAACAACATTAACACTTTGTTCCAAATATTTTCAATCCATCATTGGTAGACTTTGTGGATGTAGAAGCTGCAGAAATGAAGGGTCAACTGAACCCAAGATTCCTACTCACTGTCAGAAAGTTCCCTGGAATGGATCATTTTTTACTGAAGCGAAAGGATTCATGTTTAGCTCCTTATGGAAGCATATAAAGAATTAAGCTACTTGCTATGTATCAAAACTTAAGAGGAGCAATGGGATATTAGAGCTGGTGACAGATGGCAAATGCTGGTCTTCACTGTCCTCAAAAAACAGCATAAGAATTAGACTGCACCAGGAATACATTTAAAGTAAGTTCGTGATCACTCGTCGTCAACCACAAAGGCGTGGTGGGAAGGGAAGAGGCAGGCTTTGGAGGCAGACGAAACTATCAGGAAAAGTTCAGTTCCACTCTTCCCTCGCTGTCTGACCTTGGCCCCTTTCTGCGCCTGTCTGCTCAACTATGAAGAGAGCCTGCTTTGCAGGGTCACCACAAGAATGAAGAGGGGCGGGATTTGTACCTCACCTGTCGTAGCCTGGCTCCTGGGAGCCCTAATTATACCGCAGCTGCTGCCGCCACCACCACTGCCAGCACCACGGGCTTTATTAAGTGTTTGAAGGTTATCTGACCCCGAGACAGATCAATGATGGAGGTTTCCAAGGAAAGGAAACAAACAATTTGTAATTATTTATGTGTAGTGTGACTATCAGAGAGGAACAGAGGGGCCCCAATGTCTTGTTGAAGGCACAGCCCATCCTATTTGTCTACATTTTCAATGCCAGGCACCCAAGCGTGAACATTTCATCCTTATAGTAGTTCCAGGGAAAAACCTGGAGGTGCATGATATCCCTTTAAAAAGAGGCTCTCTTCTTGCCAAAAAAAGAGAGCAGCTGATCACAGTCATGGTTACTATGTACAGTTTTGTTCTTGACATTTTAAAAGACCCAGAAAAGAGCTCCAAAAGTTCATCCCAAAGTGGAGAGAAAGTAGGTGGTGGGAAGACAGGCTACAAGAGAGTCGGAGTCATTCACTCCAGACAAGAGTGGGTTCGACAGACTTCAAATGTGTTGAGTGTTAGGATGCCGACGCTACTCTGCTACCTTTCATCTCCAGTGAATAGAAGGGCTCCCGCCAATACTTTTTCTTTGGTGGATGATTTCCCTTTCTGAAGAAAAGAAGTCAACCAGATGACCTTTTGAGATCTCTTCTGGTTCTAAGTCTCTGCACAAATACGAAACAAGACACTTCGCTCATCAATGCGGAGTAGTTTTCAGTTGCATTCTGTTAAAATGAGGTTGAGGTAGCCTTGTATAGTAGAAAGAGTGTGGGCCAGGAGTCAGGCAGAGCTGGTTTGAGTCTACCTTTGAAACTCACCATTGGGCAAGTAAAAGAACACAACTCGACTCAACTGGATGTAGCATTGAAATAATCTCTGCCTCCTAGGGTTCCCAAAAAGATGACCTAAACTAATGTTGGCAAAGCACCAAATATTTTGACTGGCACATTATGGGCCTTGGATAAGTTAGAGCTATTATTCTAGTTGGCTTAAAAAAAAAAAAAAAAGATTGAATAGTTGACTATCATAAAAAAAGCAATGGCATTCTGGTTATAGTTATACCACGGTAGGAAAACTGCAAATTCAAGTTAGCACACTGACACCCCCTTGACCCACAGGATCCACTCTGTAAACTAGAGCTTGTCCATGCCAAAGAATGTGTGAGGGGGCAAATTATTAACCAGTTTGGTGCTAAGGAGCAGAGGAAGCTGAAGGTGAGGGCTAAGGCATCTGGGTAGGAATCTGGTTTCTCTCATGGTCCCCACAAGAATCAAATGAACTGTATCAAAAAAGGTTGCAAATACATTTCCAAGTGTAAGGAATATATCACATCTCCCTGACTTGTAATTCACACCAAGTATAGTTAACACATCAGTAAAAAAAAAAAAAAAAAAACAGGTTTGCAAACCCAATTGATTGTCAGGAACTGTAATTAGGATTTTTCTCCTTCGTGAATGATATAAAGCTAAAAGTAAAAGTCATAAAGAAATTCAACACCCTTCACATAGCAGCGAAATGCAGTGGTCAGAGCCCTACACTGAATAAAAGAAACCCCTCCTACTCCCAGACTTTTCCACAAAATGTAGTGTGTTGGTGCTGCATCGAGATGGTATTACATTTTTAGCATTTACAGAAAGATGCTGGAGTCTAAGAACAGCCCTGGCGCGTGTTCTCTGCCAGGGGAGGGGCTGTGGCAGGACGCCTGGAGGCCGTGGAGAATTGGGAAAGACAGAGGAAGTACAAGGCACAAACATGCGCGTGAAGTGAGGCCCATCAAGGGCTCCGCCAGAAACATGGGAGGTTTTCCTGAAGCCCCGTTGTTGTTCTGAGACTCAAACTTGGCTTGGAAAGCATGTCCTGTTTCCATCAAAGCGGGAACTGGTTACAGGTGATAGAAGCAAACATGACAGTCAAGGGAGCAGAACAATGCACTTTGAACTGCTCGAGTCACATGAAAGAGCAGCTGATTTTGTGGGTGAATAAGCGCAGGCAGGACAAGAGGTAAAATGACTCCAGATACATCAGAGAGCGGGGCGGGGCCCAATGTAGGTGCCTGTCAATGTTGGATCAATGAAGGCTATTGTGCCATTACATCATTCCTAAGCGGGAATCTCACACGATAATGAAGCCACCCTTATATGACCTCAATACAACTTTTACATTATTTCAAAAGCATACATTTCAAGTGGCAACAAACCACTGAGGTATTGATTCAGCCTATAGAAGCAAAACCCAATGTCTCAGTAAGCTCATATTTAGGCCCATGATTTTCACAACATTTCTTAGAAGTGGGGTGCATACAAACAGTCGTTTGAAATCTACCATGTCTATCCTTACTTTGCCTAAAGTCATCATTTTGTTATGCTTCTTTAAAACCACAGCTATTACAAATGTGACTGCATAGTACTTATAAGCAGGTTTATTGTGTGTGTGCGTGTGTGTGTGTGTGTGTGTAGTCATTGAACAAAAGAAAAAAACTAATGTGGCAACTAAGATAAAAACCAAGAACATCATGGAAAGAAAAAACAATAAAACAGGAAATTAAGGAGAAGAAAAGAACCCATGATGCTGAATTTTAAGTTCAAAAGTCCTCGTTACCAAAAATTTTTGTTGCATTCAAATTCTACTTCCATATGCCTGTTTCTGAGTCCCTTTGAACAAATCTGTCTGAATCACAGATTCTTTCAGTGTGTGAACGACTTCCCAGTGGTTTATTCAGTTTTTCAGACCACGTGGATAAATGCCAATAAAAGCGTGCTCAGAGGTTTGCAGAAAGCTACTGGCTCGAAAGGATAGAGGGAACTTTCAGAAATGCCTATCCCAATACCAAGGAGTAACTCACGCGCTTGGACTAGCTAAATAATTCAGTCCTGTGAGGTAGCGTCCTGTCTGATGTTAACAAGGGGCAACTGATCCACGAAACCTAAGTTCTAAACTTAAAATGAAGTGTGTTAACTTACAATTAAGGGGTAAGAAAATCTCACCTGGCTTTTGATAGCTGTAACACATTCTCTGCAACAGACTTGAAGAAAGTCACAAAGACTCTGTTGGAGTTTTGGTGACAAGAAGTTGCTAAATATTTTAAGGCATTTTGACCATGTTCTTACTCATATTAATGTCCTTCCAGATTAAGCTTCCCTTTACTAAACTTTCCCTTCTTCATTTTCTTCTTTAAAAAAAAAAAGAGAAAAATAGATATTCGTGCTTCAGTTCATTTTGGAAATGTGCCTTGTGAAGGACTTCAGAGATATTTTTCTTTCTTTTTAAAAATGACCTTCACATAAAAGTAATAGACTTTTCAGATAACAAAGCCCAAAGCAAATAACATCCAACTCTGCAAATATGGTCATGAAAAGACCAAAGGGACCTTTAGAAGTGGGGTGGTCATGTGCTAAGAAAACTTAAACCATTTTAACAGAAGGCAAATAAAGCATTATTCGGGAACACAGCAATCAAAGCAGCCCAAGGCTGAGGGCACACACAAATCTTTGCCCAGCAAACCTCGCTGTTTAACTAGCACTCTGGTTGTTTTCAGTCGAGTACTTCCTGGGGGGAACAGAGTGGAGAGGCAGACCGCTTTTCTTGACAACAGGAAACAATGTCATTTTGGTGTGTGTTTTTTTATTTTTTAATTTTTTTGTCTTTCCTTAGACACAGTGCAGAACCCAACACATTTCAAGGCCATGTGATGTGGGTTTTGTTGATTGATGAAGCAGCTGTGGGTTTTGGAAAGGAAATTGCACTCAAGTTCAACTGCACTGCATAGGTCCCAGCTTACCTGCCATATGCAAAGCGCCTGTCTTTGTGATGGTCGCCAAAAGTGTCCCAGAGCCTGAGAGAAACGCTCACTTCGTCAACAACATCCCGGGAACGTTCCAAGACCTGCAGGAGCGAGAGAACACCAAGGCTCAGTGCCATTCGAAGGCTCCCAGGGGGAGGATGCCTGGGTCAGCACCCCGCAATGCCCACCCCGCAATGCCCACCCCACGCACTCCCTTTTTGTTTTCTGATTCCACCGCATAGGGCTTAAACGAAGCCCAATTCTCTTCCTGTAGTCACAAGGCTCAAACCCACCTCATTCAGGACACCATAGCCATACCCTCAAGTTTGCATTTGTTTTCTCCAGCGGCACTAAAAAAATGCTCGTTTTATTTCGAATGCACTAATTCCCCCACCTGCCTCCTAAAATCAGACCGGCAGTAGCCACGATGTGCCCTGAGGATTCTAAAGAAACTCTGCACATCTTACCTCCTGGCAGACCCGGTACTGGTCAATTGCCCACACGGTTGGTACGTGGGTGGCCAGCAGCTGATACTGAGTTAGCGTCGTGTTACATGCTCTGGCACAAATCAAGCGCGTCTTCCCCACCGCGTTGTCTCCCACGACCACACACTTGATGGTTTCGACATTGGGCCTTTCGTAGTCCATGTCAGTGTCCATTTATAAAACTCTGTAAGAAGAGAGTGGACACCACATTGAAGACACCCAGGCCTTCCAGAGCAATCAAAGACCTGAGGGGTTCAGGCATCGCTTTGGAGGTACTCAAGCATAAGCAAGAATTTTGGAAGTTTATACTAAGCCTAAGTGAAATTTGAGTTTTCTTTTTATATCTCACACAAGTACAAAAACACTGGATTGTTATTTTGACCCACAAACGGTTTATTCCGGTTAACATATTATTTTCTCCTTGGTTTTCTCTAAACACAGCCTGCCTACTGGAGATCCACCCAGACAGGCAGGACGGCTGGAATACATTTATAGCTCACCAGCCTCTCACATTGACCCGCTAAAGAGGCTCATCACCTGCAGGTTTAGCCTTGGCGATGAGGGCATACATAGGCTGCCGTGGCAATACTAGAGTCCATACCATCAGTCTTCCAGTGAGCCAATATCTCCCATTGAAGAGCAGTTTTCTATAGGTTCTCAACTATCACCGTGACTCAGAGGAGACTCCAAAGTGCAAGCAGAAGGCATATCCAACATTACTGAAGAGTACATTGTAAGACGGAATTTTGACACATTAACAAAATGAACTTATATTTATCCATTTATTTATTTTTATTCATTAAGTTCATAAAATTATATTCCCAAGAGGGGGCATCATTAAGCAATACATATTTTTATTCTGCTCCTTTCTGTGTTTTCATCAAGAAATCTGGAACAGTTGGTAAAGAATGGTTTTACCAGGATGAAGAACTTCTTTGGAATCTTCTGAAATCATCCAAAAGGTTTATAGGGAGTTGCTGAGTCTGGGCTTCGAGAGGAAAAGGAAGAGCTGCTTCTATAACAGAAGCCTCCACAAAATTGGAGCAGCCCACTTCCTGCTGGCAACTGGATGGAAGGTCAACCATTTTAAGATTTTAATGGACTGAAATTGCCCCTTTGAGGAAGTCTATTGTTAAAGTGAGAAAATTGGTTAGATGGTAATTTTTAAAGTGTTGATAACGGTTTTATTGGCCATAATGTTAAAGAAACTGTAGGACCTGATACATAATGGGGGCTCAGTAAATGTTTAATTCAACTGGTTTGAGAAAAATGACCATTTGCATCATATGTGGTTAAGATTACAGAGGGAGAGATAGAAGGAAGACTATTAAGAATGCTTTTTCACAGTTGGGACCATCTGGACATGAAATTGTCTCCTGTAACACCATCACAGGAGATGATAAACCATTATGGGGATGGAGTGATGAGGTCAGGATCTGATCTGTGGTTCCTGCACAGTGGAGGGGTGCCCACCAGCTGGCAAGTGCTGTTCTGAAGGTCTCGGATGGGAAAAGCATCTTAAATAAATCTCCAGTTCTGAGGATCACCCAGGTGTGGTAACTCCTAATCGTTATCTCTTTAAAATCTAGCCTTAACATTCTATGGTTTTACTAGTTCCCTACTTAATAGTATAAGATGGTAAAAGCATGACTTTGGCGTTAGATCAGTGGGTCTTAAGTAGCTGCCCGAAAACATTTAGCAATGTCTAGAGACATTTGTGGTTGTACAGAGGGTTGGGAGAGTGCTACCAGCCTCTAGTGGGTGGAGGACAGAAATACTGCTGAACACAGTGGAATGCACAGTACAGCCTCCACAATAACATGTCTTAGTGCTGCCCTGGGGTTGAGAAATCCCTGCCTCAGACGGGGTGTGAGTTTCAGTCCTAGTCCCCATTTTCCAGTTACTGACTTGGCAAGTTACTCTCCCTTTGTGAGCCTCAGCTTCTCCATCTGTGAAGTGGGAATCCCCTAAGGTTGTTGTGTGGATTAGGTGAACTGTTGTTTTCAGTTCTTGGTGCCATACCCGACACATGGATGACTTCAAAAATTATAATCAGTACTAAAGATGAATGCCTTTACATGGCAACAAAACCGAGTCCGGTGGAAGACCAGAATTAGCTGCAAAATCATACACTTAATAATCACAAAGATCTATAAAAGGGATACATTCTAGTAGAGCAATTAAAGGGTAAGTCATTGAAAAACAAAGAACATAAATACAAGATGAAGCATAGGTGACCTTATGCAAAGAAGGCAGAAAAAGTTCTGGGTGGGGAGGAGGATGTCGTTAACTAAAAGATAATAGAGCTAGAAAGATAACTTAAAAATATTTTTAGGTGGCATTTCTAGATTCTGGAATGAGAATGGTAACACTTCTCTACAGTCTTTGGTGAGTTTCTGGTGCTATTAGCATGAGGTAACCTGTGCCAGAAAAACAGGTTCCATGTGGAGCTTCTCACCCTGGAAACAGAGATATTATTCGGAATGCCCTAAGTGGTGGAAAACCTAACTCTTTTGAGAGTGAATATTATTTTATTTTATTTTACATTAATTAAAAGTCATAGAGAGCCGAACCTTAAAATTTTGTGAATGTTTGAATTTAGTAAAAATTGAGATATGCCTATATATATATATACACACACACACACACACACACACATATATATATACATATAATTGGTTTTCTTGTTGGTTTGCAAACCAGCTCTGATAGCAGCCCCCAAAGAGGAATCCCTTGCCAATAATTTGAAACATGGCGGCTTTGGTGGGATAGCTGTGTAGCTTTTACAGGAGACAACTTTGAGGGGACCAAAGACTTCCCAGTTTTATGTTAAGACTATGATTACAAAAATATCATTACTTATTTATAGATATATCTCATGCGCAGTCCTAAAAAGAATTTCTGTGTCAAAGGTGAGAATAACATCTGTGAGTCCTCTAATCTCTAACAATCTGCTCAAAATGAAGCGACTGCCAAAGGTGCTAAGCCTTGGGAAGAGGGGACAGCATGTAAAGGAAATGAAAGGCAGGGAAGAATTAAGGACTCATAGCCCGGTCATTCACCTTAGACATGAAATTTTCAGGAATGGTTTTCTGGATTTTCAAATGCTAATGATCTTCTCTTTTGGATAGAAATTTATTTTGTCATAGTCTAAAAAAGCATTTTAAGGGTACGAAGTCACGGTCAAGAATGTAAACTCATGCTACACATGTATGGTTATAAACTGATTGTTCATCTGTTACACATAAACAAATGAGAATTAAATTATGATAGTAATTATGAAAATATGCAATTTTATTTTTCTTTACTTGTTATGGGAGCTAATTTATTCATATCTGGCACTCTTATGGCTGAACGAGCTCTTGGGACCATCTGGATAATGACTATCTGTTTTCTGATCTGTAGTTACCTAGAATGAGAGTAATAAATACTATTCATTTAGCACTATTAATAAATTTCACCACCATAAATCCTACAGATCTATGCAGATACCCTTCTGACTTTAGATGCATAACTGAGGAGACAAACAAAATATAAAAAGAAAATCTAGAAGAACTGACATTGGTAACCAGTTACTACGGCAGCTTTGTAGTCTTCTTACTTAAAAATGACTTGAACTTCATGTCATACTTCCACTGAATTCTCAGGACATAGATGCTGAAGTTAAAATAACTGAAGAATATATCTGTACACTCTGGAAATCAGAAGTGGTATGTTTATTTGAAAACTGGCAAGTGAACAAGACAATGTGGAGGTTGGCAAGTGAAGGACTTGGTGAGGTGGGACATGGCAGCTGCTGTCTGCATGCTAGTGCCTACTATCCATAAGACTGACTCGGAACACAGTGGTCATGACCTTCTGGCTATCAAATCACCCCATCTGGCTTGCTGACACCACATCTGCCCATGCCATTATTACTGTCATCTCCTGAACTTCAGGTCCCCCCTCCACATTCACCACCAACTCAGCTTTCTTGTTGTGGTCACAAATTGATGCACCCCACATCCTAGCTAAAAGTTTCTTTACTTCTTTAACACCAGTGATACCTGCCACACTCTACGTGAACCATTCATACTTTTGGTCATGTGCTAGATGTTGCTGTCATCCAGAAACACTTTAACCTCTGAAACCTCAAATTTCAAAGTCCTACTCTCAGAGTAAAAAGTTCTATCTTCACAGCTTATGCCAGATCAAATACAGCCTGCAGCAACTTTCATCAGGAGATGGAATCTATTTCCCTTCCTCTTGAATTTGAGTTCACCTTGGGACTGGTTGGCCAAACCCCAAAGAACGTGGTGGTGATGATGTGTGGGTCCAGAGTCCCTGTACCTCTACTGTTGGAATGCTGTCCTGAGGCCATCATCCAAGGAAGCTGGCCCAGCCCAGCAGAGGATGGGCGTTCATAGTGAGAACAACCAAGGCAGCCCAGCCAATGGCATCACCAAATGTTATATAGCATGAAGCCATCTTGGATCTTCTAGCCCAGCCAATTCTTTAGCTGAATGCAGTTTTATGAGGGAGCCCATGTGAAGCTAGCCCAAGAATCACCTGGCCAAATATCACAGAATCATGAAAACAGATGGTTGTTTTAAGCCATCAAGTTTTGGGTGATTTGTTATGCAGCAATAGTTAGATGAAACATACCCATGAAAAAACTCCAGCACATTGATTCCAAGTTATAGGTCCCTGATATTGGAGCTTGATATGGATGGATGATATTTTCCACCTGGGGTTGATGGATCATGCCAACTTTTCTCTTCACCATCATCTTCAACACCCTGTATGGCAAGTGTGGTAGGCAGAATAATAATCCCTCAAAGATGTCCATGTTCTAGTTGCTGGGACCTATGAACATGTTCTGTTACATGGCATGGGGGAATTAGGGTAGCAGATGAAATTAAGATTGCTTATCAGCTGACCTTACTATAAAGAGATTATCTTGAATTATTGGGGAAGGCCCAGTATAATCAAAAGGGCCCTTTACATGTGGAAGAAAGAGGCAGAAAGTCAGAGAGAAACATGAAGATGTCACGCTGCTGGGTCTGAAGATGGAGGAAAGGGCCATAAGCCAGGGGATGCAGGTGACCTCTGGAAGCTGGAAAAGGTAAGGAAACAGCTTCTCCCCTGTCAGAAGGAACGCACCTTGATTTTCACCAATGACACCCATTTCAGACATCTGACCTT